CCACTTCTCCACTCCTCTCCTGGTGTCCCTGGGGTCACCTCCAAATAAACTAGCGGCATTTGGATCCTTTTCTCAGAGTCCGCTTCTGGCAGAAACCAAAACAGGACAGCGCCCCACCCCTGGCCACATGGAACCAGCCTCGGAGGCCTGTCTATGCTGAGGGGTGGGCAGGACAGACAGCGAAGTGGGTGGGCTTGGTGTCCTTTCCTGTCCAATCTCTGGGACTCACCTCTGTGGCCACGCGCCACAGTCACAGCTGGGACACCAAATACCACATCTCCCAGCAACTCCAAAAACCGGTCTTTCTTTTTGACAGGGTCGTCTGTCCCTCCTAAATACTTCTCAATGACCGCTGGGATCAGTGCCTCAGGGATGTTCTGAAATGGAACCAAGAGTGAAAGGGACTGCCACCCTGGTTAAGCGACATGGCTTCTCCCACCAGTGAGCACGGCTGTGCAAAACCTCCCTCCCCCAGTGTCCACATGATGCTCTCAAGTGCTGTGCAAACCCTCCCTCCCCCAGTGGCAATGTGGGAAAGGCCAAAAGTGGGGAGAAAACCCTCTGGCCTCAATCTTCATTCTGCCATTTAATTGCTCAGTGACCTGGGGCAATCCCCTGTCCTTCCTTGGGTCTCAGCCCATCCCAGGGATTCCCTAGGCCCTTACAGTGACGGGGTAGGACTGCCATAAGAGTGACGAGGCCGTCTTCTCGTCCAGCTTGCCTTCAGAGATCGGGTAACCCATCATCTGTTAAAACACCGGGTTAGCAGTCATTACAGTGAGCCACCCTTGGGAATGAGCCACCCCTAGGAAACAGCCTTTAACCAACGACTCATGCAGTTGGAGGCTAAGTACCCAGCTCCCTCGTCGCTCAGGATGACCCTGAGACACGTCTTCTGTTGGGCCCCAGAGCACCGGCTCCAGGGCCCACGGGGCACACGTGCTTGACCGTGCAGCAACCTGGCTCCCTCTCCTTCCCACGCCACTTCTCCACTCCTCTCCTGGTGTCCCTGGGGTCACCTCCAAATAAACTAGCGGCATTTGGATCCTTTTCTCAGAGTCCACTTCTGGCAGAAACCAAAACAGGACAGCGCCCCACCCCCGGCCACATGGGACCAGCCTCGGAGGCCTGTCTATGCTGAGGGTTGGGCAGGACAGACAGCGAAGTGGGTGGGCTTGGTGTCCTTTCCTGTCCAATCTCTGGGACTCACCTCTGTGGCCACGCGCCACAGTCACAGCTGGGACACCAAATACCACATCTCCCAGCAACTCCAAAAACCGGTCTTTCTTTTTGACAGGGTCGTCTGTCCCTCCTAAATACTTCTCAATGACCGCTGGGATCAGTGCCTCAGGGATGTTCTGAAATGGAACCAAGAGTGAAAGGGACTGCCACCCCGGTTGAGCGACATGGCTTCTCCCGCCAGTGAGCACGGCTGTGCAAAACCTCCGTCCCCCAGTGTCCACATGATGCTCTCAAGTGCTGTGCAAACCCTCCCTCCCCCAGTGGCAATGTGGGAAAGGCCAAAAGTGGGGAGAAAACCCTCTGGCCTCAATCTTCATTCTGCCATTTAATTGCTCAGTGACCTGGGGCAATCCCCTGTCCTTCCTTGGGTCTCAGCCCATCCCAGGGATTCCCTAGGCCCTTACAGTGACGGGGTAGGACTGCCATAAGAGTGACGAGGCCGTCTTCTCGTCCAGCTTGCCTTCAGAGATCGGGTAACCCATCATCTGTTAAAACACCGGGTTAGCAGTCGTTACTCATTTGGGAACTAACGGGAAGAACCAAACTGACCAAACAACCAAACCGGAGCAGGCTGGGAGACAGCTTGTCATGTCTTGACGGGCAAGGACTCTGATGAACTGGGCAAAACCAATGACTGAAAGGGACTTTTATTCAGAAACTCAAGGAGAGTGAAGAAGATGAAGTAAATGTTAAAAGAAGCCGATTCAGGCCTCTGCAATATAATGCAAGCTAGTGTTGAAGGACAGAGCCCTGGGGGACGACACAGACCTCACAGATACCCCACGCATCTAAGATGACCCAGGAAGCCCCCATCCTGTCATCATGGCTTTGGTCCTTCGGCATAACCTTTGACATCGGGCTCAGGTGAGAAGTGCACAACAGCTCTGCACATAACCATCCCATCCAAACCTCCGCTCTAAGAGCCTTGACCAAACTGTAACACAGCTCCCAGCAGCATAGGCTGGGTCCCTGGGTGACTGATCCCAGCCCCCTGAGAAGGCTCTGTGCTGCCAGGAGAAGGCACTGTTTGTTCCAGCCAAAGCCTGTCTCTGCCCTTAGAACTGTACACCTACCACCCAAGCTGTCGCTCAAGGACCTGGGAGCTGTCCCTCCAAAATGCAGACATGCAGGGGACAACTCTGCTCTCTCTCCCTGTCCCTAACTTCAGTGGGCACCTTGCTGCAACTGACACCCCTGTCTGCTGACATACACACAGAAGAGATGTGCTTCTCCTCGAGAAGTGCCTCTTCACAAATCCAGGGGGCCTGGTCTCATAGCCATCCCCCACGCCCCCTGCACAGAAGCCTTTCCATGGCTTCAGCCTTGAGCTTCAGGCTTTGAGTGGAGTTCACACTGGATCTTATCCCTGCTGCAGTAATATAACTGAATCAAACCTGTTCCTACCACCTCTACTAGTATCTGGCTTTATCTTTGACAGAAGGGAAAGCCTTTCCTAACATTTAGAAGTCAATTTTAACACAAGAGGAAGGAAGCTCCTCTGACTCCTTCTAATTGGATGACAAAGAGCATGCCTGTGGATTTATGGAGAAACTGGAAAGCATTGAGCCCAGGGGGAGAGGCTGCAGGGCCCCAGGCCTTACTCCTGAGCTCCACTCCTTCCCAGGCCTCAGTTTTTCCATATGCACAATAATTCTCTCTACCAGCACAATGCCAGGATCTTAGACAGGAGACAATCAGAGTTTGGGGTAGGGGGCCCCAGAGCCTCACCACCCAGGTGGCTGTTGGGCCATCCCAGGGAAGTTTCCATGGAAATGACAACTTGTGCAGAGGGAACAGGTGCCCTGGACCCAGAAGGGAAGGGGGGTCTGGAGAAGGAAGAGATCCTGTGACGAGAGATAGGAGGCTGGTGGGATGGGCGTGGAGGCGGATCTCAGAGGCCCACGCAGGCTCACCATTGGAATCATCCATCCGAACTCTTGCTGGTTGATTCCGACGATGCAGGGAACGGAGTTGAGCTGCTTTTCAGCCAGAAGCTCCTCCGGCATCTTCGGCAGCAGCACTCCATCAACCACAGAACACATTACGGGCTGGCCCTGGAAAGAGGACAGAACAGTGTTCATGCTGCCCTCCCCACTCACGTCCACTTCCTTCTCTCAGCTCCTCTGAGCACGGCCAGCACCACACACCTGTGTGCCTGTGGGCAGTGGCACAGAGCTCAGGGTCTAACAAAGCAGCTAAGTGTGTGACCCCAGCGGATTAGCAGTGGGCAGGTGATGGAGGGGATCTCCCTCAAATTGAAATGTGTAAATATATTATGTTAATATTTGTGTTTTATATAAAACTTTCAGCTTGAACTTTATGTCTATCTATATGTATCTCTCTTATGACAGTCAATTCTCATTAATCACAGTGGTTACGCTCCGTAAAGTCACTGTGGACTCTGAGTTAGTGAAACCTGAGCCACGGCCCCCAAATCCCACTGTGTACACTCAAACCACCAGCAAACTCCATCCCCAGTTCCCAGTTTCTTTTTCTCCATAACGCTAGCCATCATCAGACACACTCCATATTTTGTGTGTTTATTGTACTCTCTCCTCACTCCTAGAGGGCCGGGTGTTGTGTCTGCTTTCTTTGCCTGTGTCACTGGTCTATCCCTCCACCACATCCACCCACTCCCACTCCCCGCTCAAAACTCAGGCCCCGGCACATAGTACTCAGTGCTAATGGAATCTTTGCTGAATGACTGAATGCATTTCATTCAATCCTCAAGACACCTTCTAGGGCTGTGGTTCTCAACCTTCCTAATGCCACAACTCTTTAATACAGTTCCTCATGTTGCGGTGACCCCCAACCATAAAATTATTTTTGTTGCTACTTCATTACTGTAATTTTGCTACTGTTAAGAATCATAATGTAAATATCTGATATGCAGGATGTATTTTCATTGTTAAAAATTGAACATAATTAGAGCATAGTGATTAATCACAAAAACAATATGTAATTATATATGTGTTTTCCGATGGTCTTAGGCGACCCCTGTGAAAGGGTCGTTTGACCCCAAAGGGCTCGAGGCCCACAGGTTGAGAACCACTGTTCCAGGGTAAGTGCTACTCTCCCCAGAGAGAAAGCAGAGGGGGTAGGACTGGGAGACATTGCAGAGGTAAAGGCATCAGAGCCTGGTGGCCCTCTGGAAGGTGGGAGGAATGGAGGAAGGAGAGGGGGAGGATGCTGTTGGAGTTTTCTGCGTGGCTGGGAGGAGTGTCCTCAGGCTGAGGCTCCTGGCTCCCTTCCTGGTGACCCTGCACACAGTGGCTAATCAGCCCTGCAGCCTCGCAGGAGATCTGGGCTCCTCTGTGCAGGCTCCTGAGCTCCTGATGCAGTTACCTCCCTCTCCCCAGGTGGGAGTTTCTAGTGCAGCCTTCTCCCCCTGGGGCATTTTTGGGAGCAGGAAATAAAAATAAGAAAAACTCTAGAGCCCGGCCAGCCTGGCTCAGTGGTTGAGTGTTGACCTATGAACCAGGAGGTCACAGTTCAATTCTCAATCAGGGCGCATGCCGGAGTTGCAGGCTCAGTCCCCAGTGTGGGGCATGCAGGAGGCAGCTGATCAATGACTGTCTCTCTTCACTGATACTTTTATCTCTCTCTCCCTCTCCCTTCCTCTCTGAAATCAATAAAATTATATCTTTTTTAAAAACTACTAAAAAGAAAGAAAGGAAGAAAGAGAGAGAGAGAGAGAGAGTCAATGACTGCTCTTCACTGATACTTTTATCTCTCTCTCCCTCTCCCTTCCTCTCTGAAATCAATAAAATTATATCTTTTTTAAAAACTACTACTAAAGGAAGGAAAGGAAGGAAGGAAGGAAGGAAGGAAGAAAGACAGGAAAGAAAGACAGGGTGTAGACTGTGCCCAAGAGACACAGAGTTAGTAGTTAAGAGCACTGGACCGGGAGTCATAGGAACAGGTTGTGGTCCGACATCTGGTCCTCCTGGCTGTGTTACCAGGCAAGTCACTGCCCCTCTCTGGGCCTCAGCAATATAAACACAATGAGTTACTATGCATCCACAGGGAGAAGTC